TAGTTTTCACTAGATGTGGATGGAGCCAATGATCTGCATTAGGCAGACATGACGTGAAATCAATATTTATAAACATTAAACCGAAGCCAGGAGTAACAAGTAATGTTTGTTTTACAAATGTAAGGAATAGAAAGTACAGATGCTTGTGTGAAAATGTAATGAGTAGAAGTCAGAAGTAGGAAGAAAAATAAGTAATGGAGTAAAGTATTGATACCTAAAAAGTGTACTTAAGTACAGTAACAAAGTATTTGTACTTTGTTACTTGACATCTCTGTTTAAATGCGAGCAGGTCTGACATCAGTCCATGTTTAACCGTTTTTTTTGTTGGAGCAGCAGATCGATGCTAAGAAGCCACAGCTTGTAAAGAGATCAGATCTGAATGTCTTTGCTGCCACACGTTACCACATGCCCGAGACCGCCGTGGAGAAGGAGCCAGAGGCGGTGCAGGTACGCTCCCTGACCCTGTCTAAAGGACGGCTTCAGCTTCTGCTGTCGCACTTCATTCATACCTGCTTCTGTCTGCAGCCTGATGCCAGACAGGAAGCTGAGCTGGAAGCCAGGAGACTTCAGGACCTGCAGAGGGAGGAGAAGAGGAGGAGAGAGGAGCAGCTGGAGAAGGCTCGTCTGAGGGGAAGGGAGGCTCTGAGGAGGGAGAAGCTGGCTCAGGTACGCTTCACCTGGCCAACAGAGCTGCTGACAGAGGCATCAGAAACCAGGCAGACTGAACTCTACAGCAGCAGTAAAAACAAACATTTGTGTTTTAATCAGAACTAAGCAGAAACGTATCAGGTTTAATATTCTTCAGTATTCCCCTTTTTCTTTCTGAGTAAATATGTTCTTACTTCAAAGAAACCATTTTTCCCCCACTTATTATCAGAACTTTCTTGGTGGATAAAACATTGTTTTTAGTCAAAGTGTCTGAAGCTGTGGATATTTTAAGGAAAATTTGATCTTTAATTCCTTGTATTTTATATTTGCACAGCCTCTAAAGTGAAGAGAAATCCCCCAGTAGATGCAAAAAAAGGTTTTTCTTTGATCTTCTGCTCTTTGGTTAGTTATGATGACTAGGCTGTAGCTCTGTTTTATTCCAGCAGCCCGATTAGTAAACTGTAGTAATATTTGCTTGCATTGTATGTTTCATAATAATTAAAACCCCCCACAAATGATTGGTAAATCTTTAAATAATGTTGCCTAAATAAGGTAGATGTGAGGTTAAAGAGTCATTAGCTTATCTGAGGCTTTAGAAACTGAGTGATGGAGTTTGCTTCTCTGTAGTAAAGATTTTGGGTCTTTCCTCAGCTCACCTCAATGACTAGTTTAGAGACGCAACACTAGCTGTTGGACAGGTTACAGAGTTTGAGTTTTCTCCCTCTTACATCTCTGCAGATTCAAAGCTTTTATTGCATCAAATTCTCAATGTTTTGAAGGACTTTGCCTGGGAGTTAAAGATTCTTCTTCTTGCTTTGACTTTGTTCCTACAGATGTTTCAGTTAGTTCTAAGCTGGACAAGGTTTAATCTCCCCACATCCTGTTCTCTTATCCAGAGATGTTCGCGTGTCTAACTGTTGATCAGATGCTGCTTATAACAAACAAGATGTTCTTTAGCTCCAGCCTTCAGTTCCTCATGTGTCGCCGATGGTTTGGTTCAGGACCGGGAGCGTTTGCTGGTTGAGCTGGAGCACATGCAGCAGACAGACCTGCTGAGGAGGAGGCAACAGGCGGCTCAGATGCCACAGCAGATCTTTCAGCCTCTCAACCAGAGGCGGGAGACCAGGGAGGACTTCCAGAGGGAGATGGAGTTTGCCTTTGAGGACATGTACACCGGAGAGAGACGTAAGGCTGGTTACTGTTCAGCGGTGAGCTCTAATTATCGAACGCCTGTTTGCATCTCAGTCGTCTCTTTTTTTTTCAGGGGTTAAAGGGGACCTGGTGGTCCAGTTGTTACCTGAACCTCTTCCAGCGTTGTCCCCCAGCAGCCAGGACCAGGACCTGGATGTCACTTTGGATGAGAATGTGGAACCTCAAGCAGAAAACATTCAGAATGACTCTGAGGGTGGAGTCAGAAGCAGTGAGCAGGAGACGTCAGCTGAAGGTGAACGGAAGCACTAGATTAGACATTCCAGAGGTTATTAGTGAATAAAAAGCAGAACTCTGAGCTGAAGCCTGTCGTCCGTCCCTGCAGTGGAAGCTGAAAAACCTCCTCCCAGACGGGCGCTGAGGAAACTCCTGGATCGGATCCGGAGTCAAAGGAACGACTGGATCAACAGCAACAGTCACAGTCCTGCAGAAGATTCACCCACCTGCTTCACAGACCTGATCCCAGAGAAGGACACCACCATCGAATCTGGATCTCTGTCCAATGAGCCGGACAGACGGACCCCTGTCCAGCTCTGTGAGCCCACCGTCCATACTCCGGGTAGGACGGTTGATAATCTGATTGTTTTTTCATGTTTAAAAGGTTTATTGTGCCGGTGGTGGTGTTTACATCCTCCCAGAGATCAGATCTTTCTCACATCAGCTCTTCTAGAACGAATGTTGTTTTTATTCACTGTTGATGCTTTTTTTTTGTGTGTATGGCTGATCCAGCTGTGGAACGAGCAGAACCTCCACCTGCAGCAGGAAATTCCCCTCCAGATGTTTTTCTCAGCCAACTCAAGCAAGCTGAGGAAGAACGGAAGAAGAGGGTGAGGCTGCAGAGAGAAATGTTAGAAGAATATATGCTGTGAGGCAGAAGAGGACAGAGGCTGTTTGCTCAATGATGATGAACTTCATTCTTTGGCTTCGTGTCAAACCGAATGTAGAGCAGTTAAGGTCTGATTCAGGGTCCACTCTGTGACCGTACCTGTGGCAGCTAAACAATCCCCCAATCAGCAGTGCCTCCACCGTGCTTTAGAGTTGGTGTTAGTGTTGATATGCAGACAGATCGATCCTCCAATCCTTCCAGATCGATCCTGTTTCTTTAAGGTCATCTCTGAGGTTTTTCAAACTCCTGTATACTGAGAGCAGCCATCTTTCCCGACGATGATCAGTTAATCCAAACTTTCCGTAAAAATTCAAAAAATATCCACTGGACTTGGTTTCCAAGATTTGAAGATGTTTCGCCACCTCTCCAGGAAGCTTTCTCAATTCAAATGTCTGGATCCGCAGTGAGTTTGAGTCTTNAGAAGAGGACAGAGGCTGTTTGCTCAATGATGATGAACTTCATTCTTTGGCTTCGTGTCAAACCGAATGTAGAGCAGTTAAGGTCTGATTCAGGGTCCACTCTGTGACCGTACCTGTGGCAGCTAAACAATCCCCCAATCAGCAGTGCCTCCACCGTGCTTTAGAGTTGGTGTTAGTGTTGATATGCAGACAGATCGATCCTCCAATCCTTCCAGATCGATCCTGTTTCTTTAAGGTCATCTCTGAGGTTTTTCAAACTCCTGTATACTGAGAGCAGCCATCTTTCCCGACGATGATCAGTTAATCCAAACTTTCCGTAAAAATTCAAAAAATATCCACTGGACTTGGTTTCCAAGATTTGAAGATGTTTCGCCACCTCTCCAGGAAGCTTTCTCAATTCAAATGTCTGGATCCGCAGTGAGTTTGAGTCTTGTATAGACAAAGCCTTGTGTCGCTTGGAAACATGCAAATGGTAACCGATGAATGGAACGTTTAGTTCCATCGTTAGCCTGTAATATCTGAAACCTGTCTATGATTCTAAGGGTCGGTCGTTAAGGGGGGGGTTGCTGTTAAGGGTGGGATTGTCTCCTGTAATACCTGAAGCCTGTCTATGATTGTCAAGAGTCGGATGTTAAGGAGGATTTTGGTTTGACAGGAAGCTGAGCTGGAGAGCGAGAAACAGCAGCAGCTTGTTCTGCTTCAGGAGCTGGAAGAGCAAAAAGCCAAGCTGGAGCAGATGCTGCAGGAGGCCCAGCAGGAGAGGGAGCAGCTGAAGGCTGCGGCCACCCAGGAGGCTCTCCACCTACGGCCACAAGGTCCAGGTCCAGACCCGGACCAGAACCCCACCCGTGCAGTAGGTCTAGATACACGTGGCAGACACATGCTGCTCTTCATGGGTCAGTTAGAATAAAGCTACGGGTTTGTTGTTCTGCAGGCAGGATTCCCTGCAGCTGAAGATGAGTCTACCAGGAGGGTCCGAGAATATCAGCGCCGCCTGTTGGACCAGAACAGGTACTGCTTTTTTTTCCCTCCCTTGGTTTCAAGTTGAACTAGAAAGAAACTGAATGTATGAAATGTTTCAGGATTCACCAGAGATCAGTGGAAGTGGCTCGGCAGCGCTTGGAGGAATACCAGCGAGCTCTGCGGATCCGCCACAACATGACCGCCGCCTTGCTGCGGCCTCCTGTTCACCCTGCAGGCCTTGTTCACCAAGAGCCGGAACATTTTTCAGCTCTTCATGTCCCTTTTACGCCTCCGTCAGAGGATCCAAAAACCTCTGTGGACTTGTCTGCTCCACCTCCTGCTTCCAGCGGCTCTGTTGGCTCCACTACTAACCCACCCAGTACAGAGGGAGCAGATGTTACAGCTCAGCTCACCCACAGCATCCTGGAGAGAGTTACAAAGCACCTGCCGGAGAGACTGAGACCCTCCTCTGACCCCACAGAGCTCAGCGCACACAGATCAACCTCTGGTCTGACCCGAACCACAGGTTCCAGAATCCCAGATGGTTTATCTCTGGAACCCAGACGGCAGGTTCTGAGCTCCAGAGAGGAAGACCTGGACTGGAGGAGACGGGAGCTGGAGGAGAAGCTCCATGAGGAGGAGATGCGAAGAGCAGAGGTGGAGCTGGAGCATATGAGGAGGCAGAAGGAGACGCTACAGAATCTGATTGATGATGATGAGGATGAAGTAAATCAGTCACCTCAGCTTCCATCTGGGATTAGATGTTTCAGATGGGATGATGTCCTTAACCCTCCAGGTGTTTTCTTCTCACCCACAGAGTGTTTCTGCTGCTGCCAGCGAAGGTTTGGAGCCTGAGAACATCAGGCAGAGAAGACTGGAGCTGCTGGCCTCCCTGCTGAGAGCCATGGAGGACTCCAATGGAGGAACTTTATCGCACTTGGAGGAGCCTGAAGATGGACGACATGCCCAGTCTGCGCCTGGAGTCAGAGGTAGCTGCTGAGGTCATTTTCACCTGTTTTAGGCAGCAGTTAAAATGACTGCGTAACCTTGGGATGTAATACTGAATAATCCTTCAACCTGAGACGAGTCAGACATTAGATTTAATTATAATCATTCACTGCTTCTTTAACCTTTCATGTTATTTGTTGTTTTTTTGTGTGTTTTTTTTGTTGCTTTTCTTGAAGAGCAGCAGTTACTCATTCATCTGTTAGAATTCACTCGTTATTTTTTAAATTATATTTTCTATTATAATTATCAAGCATTCTTGTGCCTTTACCCTGAGTATCTCTGTATTTATAGACGTCTATCCTCAGAGATTTTAGGAGCTCTTTGCTGATATGAAGGAAAGAGTTGTAGTTGGCTAACAGACTGGAGCTGAATTATAAATAGAAAAGCTATATTTAGATGGTTTTCTCTGAGGTAGAAGGATTCAGAGTCTTTGTTTATTTTTATTGGTTCTTCTGGTCTTGGATCGTTTTAAAATATCATCTCTGAATGCTTGAAACTCCCAGAAACCCTGAGTGAATTGTTTGATTCCGTCAAATGAAATTCCCAGTTTTAGAGCCAATGTTGATTGATTGTCCTATTTTTAGCAGAATTATTATACAGGTTTATTGCACAGGGTATCTAATATTGCACATTTTATGTTTTACAATTGAATGCCTTTGTATTTATTGCCAGAGTCTGGTTGCTGCAGGGATGAATAACCTGCGGTAGCGCTGCTTTTTACAAACAGGGTGTAAAAGTCCTTTACTAAAGGAGCTGCTCAGCTCCTTTACAGTCTGGTGCAGAGGTTAAAAGGTGTTTTTCATGATGGATGGAAGCTTGGACAGCTCCCTCCTCTCAGCCACTTCCTCCACTGAGTCCAGCATACAGCCTAGGACAGAAACAGCCTTTCTTGCCAGTTTGTTTAATGTATTTCTGGCCCACTCTGCACTGCCAGGGGCCCAGCAGACAACAGCGTAGAGGAGGGCTGATGCCAGCAGGGTCCTGCTCACTCCAAAGGACCTCAGCCTCCTCAGGAGGTGGAGGAGCCTCTGGCCCTTCTTTTACAGGGCGTATGTGTTATGAGTCCAGTCCAGTTTATTACTGATATGAACACTCGGGTATTAGAAGCTCTCCACAGTCTCTCTGTCCTGCCCCTGGATGTTCACAGGGGGGGTGAGGTGGTGGTCTTCTCCTGAAGTCGATCACCATCTCCTTGGGCTTACTGATGTTAAGACACAGGTTGTTCTTCTCACACCAGACCAGAAAGTTCATGATGATGGTTCTAGCTTGTTCCCCTCCGAAACACAGCCTACACTGACCGACAATTTCTGGAGATGGCAGCTGTCCGTGCTGTAGGTGTAGTCCCAGGTGTAAACGGTGAAGAGGCAAGGAGACAGAACGGTGCCCTGGAGGGCCCCGGTACTGCAGACTTCCACCTCTGACTGACAGCTGTGCAGCTGCACGTGTTAAGGGTGTTCGGTGAGGTAGTTGATGGACCTTGCAGCAAAATGTTTATAAGTAGAGGCATCCTGATGGGTTTACTGACGCTGCAGCTTTAAGTGCTGCTGATACTGATAATGGCCTGATACCACAGTTATAGAGCTGGAACGGAACCAGGGGCGACATCAGTGGATCTGGGAACAATTGACCCGTTTATTATCTACCAATGACATAAACCTGACCTGAAATCAGGGTAATGTTTTAGAAGGAACTTAAGCAGGACGACTTTAGCATCAACTGCTGATCATGTTGGTTCTGCTGCATAGAAACACTGAAGCAGAGTAAATGATTAAATCATGCATCTAAATAATTTGGTTTCATTTTCCCTTCAAAGTGGTTTCAGGCGTCCTTCCAGCAGAACCTTCTGGGTTCATCCATCCTCCGCGGACCCAGAGGCCTCCTGTGACTCGGGTCAGGCTGGGTTCAAAGGTGCTGCCCAGCCAACATGAGCTCAGCGCCATCCAAGAGGTGGAGACTCCAGTCAACACGAGTCGGGTTCCAGGTCCGTTCAGCTTCCACAGCTACCAGCTTGTTCCTGCTTGTATTTAACCCATGAAAAGGTGCGTCACGTCTTCTGTTTTCCATTGTTCAAGACCCAGAAGACGACGGTCCTTCACACCCAGCGGACTTTGATGGTTCTGGATCAGAGGCAGCTTCTAACAGAACTCTGCAGTCACAGAGTTTCTCCAGCTCTGGACCCGGTTCTGCTGAGAAACGGGTCGGCTCCAGCCATCTTCCCTGGGGTGAGCGCCTGCTGTCCGGGCCGGGAACGTCTCCAGATTGCTTCGGTACCAGAACCACAGGAAGCCGTCTTGCTGAAGAAGAGCTGAAAGGATACTGATCCATTCCTGTCTTTCTAGATTCGGTCATGAAGGCGACCTCGCCGTTTGGTTCTGATTCTGGGCGAGGAGCCGACTTTTCCGGTCTGGAGGTTCTGAGCAGCAGATCCTCCTCAGAGGTAACAGAATCAGTCCAGCTGCTCTACGAAGGGTCCCAGCCTGACTTTCCTGTGTCCACATGGAAGCAGGACTTTGGACCGACATCAGCGAGTCTGATGACGGTCCAACCCCTCTGAGGTCCACCTGCTGTGGGTCGATGATGAAAATTAGCCAAATCTGAGAGCTCAGGCAGAACGTGCCTCTGCTTTTGATTACGCTTGAGAAGCTTCTATGTCTTTGTCCGTCTGGGTGTCTGTCTGTCTGTGATGGTTAGTATGTTTTTATTGTGGGTGTGTGTCTCAGTGTTGGTCGGTCGGTGTGTTGGTTGGTGTCTGTGTTGGTTGGTTGGTCGCTCAGTGTGTTGTGATGTTTGTGTTGTTGTGTTTGTGTGTCTCTGTGTTTCTCTGTACTGAGCGATGATGTGAAAGATCCAAACCTGAAGCGTGTTTGTTTAACAACACATTTAATGAGGGTTTCTACACTTGAACTGAGCTCAGTGACGTCGTTACTTCCAGGGAGGTGGAGCCTAATGGTCAGAGTGTAGGTACATGGAGTCTGACTGAAACTGCTCCTTAATCAGTTTTAATCCTTTTATTTCAGTCTGCTGGTAGGCCGGCTGGATCTGCCTGCCTCTCCTCCACCACGATCTCCAGCGGCAGCTACGTCTCCACCGACCCTGAGCCGAATGTGAAGGCTGGTGAGTGGCAGCAGGACCTGCTCTAACACTTGAACCCTTGACCTATAAAGGGGCGCTCACACTGAATAAGTTTTGAGTGTCCTTTTTGAAATCAGATGCTCTGGATCAGGCATCCCCCGAAGCCGGTCCTCGAGGGTTGTTGTCCTGCAGGTTTCCTTGCTCCAGCACAGCTGATTTACACTGATAGTTGATTATCAGGGTTTTGCTATATTGCAATCATCATAATGAGCTGTGCTAAAGCAGAGAAGCCTCTAAAACCTACAGGACCGAGGCCCTCCAGGACCGACTTTGGACATACCTGGTCTGGATGGTCGACGTCCAGAGAGTTAAACTCCTCTCTCTTCCATGTTTTTAGGAAAGTAAACCTTAAAACCTCATCTTCAGTTAGTTGATCAGGATTATATTATGTGTTCAGACTGACTGAAAGTGAATATAAAGCTGGTTTTAAAGTTTTTATTTAAAACGTCAGGCTATGACATTTTTTAGCTAATGTAGTTTTTATAAAGTGTTTTGCCACAGCTCAATAGGAAAATGTAATGGTGGAGGAATAATGGTCAGAGCATTCTCACTTTTCCTCGTCCATAAAAACATTCTGGCTTTTTATATAAAACCAGTAGCGTAGTAAACTAGCTCCACCCACCAGCAGCCA